GTTTTCTTGAGAAACTGTAGATAACAATATGTAAAATGACAACCACTGATAATTTCCTACCACTTTGTCTGTAATTTGGTAAGCTCCCCCTATTACTATGTTATCCTTCTTTTACTCTTTAAAATAAAAAAAGAAAGATTGAATGGAACAGTGTATGTAAAAGGCATATTAAAATTCAAGTAAGGTTAGTTTTTGTAAACATGAAACCAGCAGTACATCTTAAATTTTTATGCACACATACACTGCACACAGCATCAGGTTTTTGTACACCTCTCATCTGCTCAAAAGTGAGCGATGAGCATAATACAATAAATACACACCTCAGAAAGACGATCAGCATCTATGCAGCAGGTGCTGCAGGGAGGTGGGGAGCAGACAGGCTGTCACCTCTGGTGTAGGAGAACTGCCACTGTGAATACCCTCATTAGTACTGTGAGCATAGTGACTGTGAAGCCAAACTTCCTGGATTCATAACCTTTCTTTCCACTTACTATCTGTACTTTTGTAAGTTACCTTAGCTCTGCTGTGCCTCCACTTCCTCATCTGTGATATGCAGGCTATAACACTGTCTAGGGCCAGGGATATAGCTCAGTGGCACAAGTGCCTGCCTGGCAAGTGCAAGGTCCTGAGTTCGATCCTCAGTACAAAAAAAAAAAAAAAAAAAAACTCACTGTCTAGTCTCGTAAAGTATGAGGCAACATCAAACTAAAAAACCTTATGATTTATTTATGGCTTTAATGTATTGTTTACTACTAATTTTATGCATCTGTTGGAACCTTTCAAACCACTAGACATCTGCAAATAACAGTAACGTAGAATCCAGTGATTCAATGTATCTGCAGAGTAACTGACTTCAAAACAAAACTATGATTATACCAGAAAGAAAGGATGAGAAAGACTGTCCTGTTCCACTTACTGTAATAGGTCTACTATAAACACCAGTATGTTTCTACACATTGCTGTCAATATCTACCATTACGGGAAGCATCAACCTTGCAAAAAAGAAACTATTATCTCCATTTAGATTAAGAAACAGAAAAATTATACCCCAAACCACAGAGTCAGAAGGTGGTATAAACATATTCAAACACCAGTCTGTTTTATCTCAAAAACCCTTTCTCCCATGAAAATTATTTTGGCACACCTCCCTCAATTCTATCTGAAAGAACAAGAAAGCATCCGAGGTTGATTTTCATGCCAATGGAATTATCAGAAATTATAAACTGATATATATATAGTGACCTCTAAGTCCCTCTGGGTGATTAGTAACACAGGGGCTCAAACACTCGGACACACACACACACACACACACACACACACACACACACACACCTTTTAGTCTTTAAAGCTGCTTCCAAGCTAGTATTACACTGTATCAAATGAAATAGTTCTGAAAAACAAAAAATGGCAGGAAAGTACTTTATGTACTCATAAGGAGTTTCTACCTACCATCTACCTCATTTGCCTAAACTTAACCTCTGCACCCCAGTTTTCTTTCCCAGCTAAGATTCATTTCTCAAATAGCTTTATGAACATGTGTTCAAAATGAGATGCTCATTAGACATTTCAAATCCAACATACCAAAATCTGAAGGCCATTTTATTTTCTAAACCTGTTCTTGTTTTACCTTATCTCAAGTAATTCATTTATTCAATTAGTAAATGGTACAATAAACATACAGTATGCCTTCTCCTTGAAACTGTCACAGATAGAAACCTAGGAATTATCTCAGTCTCCCTTAGAAACACAGCTAAATGATCATAAGAATTTACAGATTTAAAATATTTCTTGCCGGCTGGGGATTTAGCTCAGTGGCTCAGCGCCTGTCTGGCAAGCAGAAGGTTGCGAGTTCGATCCCCGGTACTGGAGAAAAACCAAAAAAATAAAATAAAATAAAATAAAATAAAATATTTCTTGCTATTGTGAAAGGGAAAGAAACTGTTCAAAGGGAAGGAACACCTGGGATGAGGGAAAGGAGAAAATTAAAAAAGAAGGGGAAAAAATATGTATGTATATAAAAGGACAGCTAGCATAATTGTTCTGCTGATGTCTATTGTTTTATTGAAAGGAACAGTTAATACTTAAATTTTTTTGACCAATTCTGCATGCTTCTATCTAGTAATCAGAA